CGCGCAGTGGAAGGGGGGGGCGGATTTCGCCCACCCCTCCTGTTTTTCGCCAATAACTCGCGCCGCAAGCATAATATCAATGTGAAATTTCGGCTACCTGTCCAGAATTGAATTGCGGATCTTCTCGTGCAAGAAGTAAGAAAATCGGTTCACAACTTTTCTAGTAATAGCGGTGTAAAGTCAAACATCCTGCCGCCGCGGCGGCGCGGCGGCGCGGCGGCCGGCGCTAGCCGTTACGCGCCGCCTGAATTGTAGACTGTGCCGGGGCGGGACGGTTCCGTCTTTACATCGCGCTCCTTACCGCTGATTATATTAGATTCGCGTCAAATTCGGTGAGAAGACTGAGAAATGTACAGGCAATCATATGGTCAAAGAATTTTGAAAATCGGCCGGTAACAACTTGAGTTATGAGTGTGTAAACACAAAATTGTGATTGCCGCGTTTCCCGCGTCGGCCGATGCCGCCTCAGCCGGCGACATCTTACCCTTCGCAGGCTTCTAACTGCCATATTTATTGTTGGATTATCTAGAAATTCACCATACATACTCACAAATGTTTGCTCTTTCGTATAGTGAAAGATTTAAAAAAATCGGCCGGAAACTTTTTGAGTTATCGGCGTGTAAACGCAAAAAAAATCGCTAATATGGCAGATTTGACCACATTTGACCTCATTTGACCTTGAAGATATTGACCTAGGGTCATGAAATTCACACACAACAGAGTTCCCCATGGCCCCCACCTACCCTCCAAATTTCGTCTTTCTAGCTCCAGTGGGAGCTGAGATCTTAGGGGGGGGGGCGACATCCGCCCCCCCTTCCACTGGGCGTAGTACTCGCAACCCTTCCACTGCGCGTGTTAACTTGACCTGGTGACCTGACCTGACATGACCTGGGGTCACAAATTTCACACATTGTCCAAAATTGATGCACCAAAAGCTAACCCAAGCGGCGCGGCGCTACGCGCCGCGGTTTTTTATTCACACGCAAAAAACGCGACAGGGTGGTAACATATGCCCCCCCCCACTGGGGCGAAGGTTAAAAAAAAAACGCATACGCTGGAGGCGGCACCGCACTGCTAGGCGGGGGGTGGTATCGCAATAATGGGCGGCACTGTGCTGAGACGCACCACTTGCATTGAGGGGTGGCAGTGTATGTACGGTGAAGGGGCGGCGTCGCATTGAGGGGCGGTATCGCAACGAGGGGTGGCACTAACGAAGCTGCCTTATAAGAAACGCTTGGCACATCCTAGCCCAGCTCGGCGCCGCCTGGCTGCTGCATCTTCAAAAGGGCCCTTGGTGTCGATGAGAGAGCCCCACTGTCAAATAATTACCTAGCGTCAGTGGTTTCTAAGGGGGGGAGCGCTAAGATCTTGAATGGGGCGGGGCGACTGAAGTCTCCATTCAGATGGGCGTCAGTGACTACTGGAGGGCGTCAACGAACTCGGATAGGGCGAATGTGATGTTCAGAAGGCCACCGGGTGATCTAGAGGGGTTTAATGCTTGGATGGGGTCACTGCTGCCTTCAGTAGGGCGTCGGACGCTCTGAAGGGGCGCCATTGATCTCGGATGGTCCGACTGTTATTTTCAGAGGGACACCAGTAGTTTCAGAGGGGCACCATTGATCTAGGATGGGGCGAATGAAGTCCCGGTTCCGGTGGGCGCCAGTGGCTCTTGAGGGGCGCCAGCGACCTTGGATTGATGGGGCGATTGTAATCTTTAGAAGAGCGTTGAGGGGCGCCATTGGGCATGGATGGGGCCGCTGTTGCCTTCAGCAGGACGCCGGACGCTCTAGAGTCTAGAGGGGCGCCTTGAGCTTGGGTGGGGCGACTGTAGTCTCAAGGGGCGTTGTCTGGGATGGGGCGAATATGATTTTCAGAGGGGCGCCGGGTGCGAAGGGCGCCATTGGTTTCAGAGGGTTGCCATCGATCTTAAGATGGGGCAGCTTTGATCTCCGTTTAGATGAGCGCCAGTGACTTTTGAGGGGCGCCAGCGACCTCGGATGAGGACGACTGTGATCTTCAGAAGCGCACCGGACGCTCTGGAGGGGCGTCATTGGTCTTGAATGGGGCGACTTCAGTCTCAAGGGGGGGGGGGCGCTAGTGGCTCTCTTGAGGGCGCTATTGATCTTGGATAGGGCGACTGTGATCTTGAGAAGAATGCAGGTGCTTTAGAGGGGCGCCAGTGGTTTCAGGGGGCGCCATAAATCTTGGATGGGGCCGAATGGGGCAACTGTGAACTTCAGAGGGGCGCCATCAACCTTTAATGGGGCGACTGTTTCGTTCAGGTGGGTGCCAGCGGCTCTTCAGGGGCGCCATCGACCCTGGGGGTTCGGAATATTCTGGTTTCCGGAGGGGCGCCCTTCAACATTGGGGGGGGGGGCTCAGATCCTATTTGGGGGTGCCCTGGAGGACATAGGGGTGTCCAGGCACCCCCAAAGAGATCTTGAGTTCGATCCCTGCCTGCACATCACTTTTTAACCCTAGAACGCCTAGGGGGGGTTGTATCAACCCCCCCTGAGGTTTTTTCGAAGTGCACGCTAAACGGCTTGTCGTAGCGGGCTGAAATTTTCAATACCCTCTGGGGCAACCTTTGCGCATCTTTTGCCGAAAAAAAATTGATCGGGTCATGTCAGGTCACGGAGTTATGACGTCATAAGAGGTACAGCCTCCGGCCGACAGTTACCAAACGTGTGCGCCGAATCCCTAGGTTTTCTGCCGGTGATACCCACATTGTTTGATGGATCATGATGAAACTTCCCATGCATGTTAAGGCAAACATTGGCTATCGTGTGGTGCAAGAAAATTGACCGGGTCAGGTCAGGTCACGGAGTTATGACGTCATAAGAGGTACAGCCTCCGGCCGGATTTTCACGAAGTGTGTACCGAGTCCCGAGGTTTTCTGCTGATGCTATCCACATTGTTTGATGGATCGTCATGAAACTTCCCATGCATGTTGGGGCAAGTATTGGCCATCGTGTGGTGCAAGAAACTTGACCGGGTCAGGTCAGGTCACGGAGTTATGACGTCATAAAGGGAAAAACCTCCGGCCAGATTTACGCTAAATTGGAGATTGCTTCACATTGGTATAAATGCCTACTGACCTGACACACTGATGGATTGTTTTAGAATCATAACTGGCTGATTTGACATTAGCACAATGTCCGTTGACATTTTGAAGGTTACTAAAGGTCAAGGTAAGGTCAGTGACCTCGGTTGACCTATATGACTTCTTGCACTTGTATGCCTTTTCGGGGTATTTTGATGCCCTGAATTCGAATTTGCTATCCATTTCAGGCATCGTCGGTTGTTTCATGTAGTTCATTTTGGGTCAGGGTCAGGTCAGTGACGTCACACGCCTGACGTGACCCAATGCACAAATGACCTTGCAGACTTCCGATGCTCTCAACGCATCATTTTTAGAGTTATGACATCAAAATACACACCAAACGATAGAGAATTGATCAAGGATCACGATAGTGAAGGTTTAAAGTCGATATCTCTTACCGTTTTGCCGCAATCGGTGTGGAAATCTGAAAAAGTTAGATTTTTCCGAAAATTTGACCTTTGACCGGTCATAAGTAGGTCAAATGTTGACCTAGGACCAAAAAATATACCACCAATCGCGAGATCTCGTTGAGAGCAATCCGTTGGTTTTTTCCGCTAAGCTCTACGACCTTCTGTTTCGAAACGCCAGGGGGGGGGGGGTCGTAACAACCCCCCCCCCTGGTCGTTCGTGTTATGAGAAATGGCCTGGTCGTGCGAGGGTTAAGTTATGTTCCCTCTGTAAAACAGCATCAGCCTAGTCGGCGCTAATTGGGGCGCCATCTGGGCAGCTGGGCGGAAAGGGGGGGGCCATGGCCCCCATGCCCCCCCCCCCCCTGAATACGCCACTGGGTACATTGTGCATGCCTATTCACTCACGAGACAATTACTTTTTTACAAATACCGATTAAAACCCAATGCCGTGAGAAGGATGCTACCTGCGCTTATAGATGCAACAGCGAGGTAGAGCTCCTAATTTACAAGCCTCACCGGTCGGACCTGTATTTTTACATTTGCTTCTGGGTGGGCAAATCGACGCCACTGGGTGGGCAATTGTGGCAATTGTGGGTATGTTAGAGGAGGCCCTGCTGAAACCGAGTCCGACCCTCACTACAGTAAGTCTCCAAAAATCATCGACTAGATCACGCTCTACAATACTACTCTTTCACATTTCTACACTATTCATTGCACAGAGGATAACAATGTTTGAGGGTGCATGCATTGTGTGTATACCACTCTCCAAGGGAGTGAGCCGTTAACCATCGATACCATAATAATGACATCGATGTTTTGTCTGTCGACTCCGATGACTGTTACAATGCAGACTGCAGAGTGAGATGCAGATTCGACGTGTTGGCATTTCGCTTGGAGTAACATTCATAATTCCTTCAGTATCACTCGAAGAATGACAACTTAACACTAGGTTTGAGTATTTTGGTTGTTAAATCTTGACAAACTAACAGAGCTTTTCAGCTATTGAGCTATTGAGCATCTGTATTTTGAGTATGTAGCAGTATATTTTGCATAGTTACATTCATGTTGCTCATGAAGTGAAAGTAATCCACGTTACAAAATGTCACAAACATAAAATCATTTAAAAGTACACCTGTTTTCCTGATCATAACGCACAAAGCATGGCTGTCAACGTCGCAGGTCCACATTTGTCACACGAATGCAACGCAAATGAAACAGCTTCGGGCCTATTTAACACCCTAGTAAAAAACAAATTGGGACACAACAGGCGAAAAATATGTACAAGCCTCTCCACTTCAACAACACTTTCCACTTCATATCTGATTCAATGCGTACGGGTTTCGTTTCAGTTTTTGGACTAGGCACTTCTGGTACCGACACTACGGTTCATCGGAGCTGTTAGGTTCATCACCGTACCAACGTGCACGATAGCGCTGACTTGCGGCCGAACCTGTGGTCTCGGCCTTTCTCATCACGCCACTGAGGAGGCCATGTGGCAAGTGGAGCAGCGCTGGACGAAAAATGGCCGGCTGGCGGTGGCGGCGGTTTAGTTCGTGCCCAGAAACCACCGCAAACTCTGTCAGTTGGCCACCAGCGAACGGACGGTGGTCGCCTCTGGAACATGGCCGGACTCTGACCCACTCACCACTGCTCACTTTGACCGGCTCACCACTGCTCACTTACGTAGCTCACCCACCCGAGTGAGTTCGTCTCACGGAGCCACTGCAGCTGACGCACAACTCATCACCGCTCACCACCACTATCTCACTTCGCGTCTCACTTCTCAGAGTCTGTATTCACGGGACACCACCGCTGGCTCGAGCGAACGGCGGCTGAGACATCACAGAGCCGGGAGAAGACGCACACGACTGGCCGCAGTTCCACGTCCACGTAAAGCTCCTCAGTCCTCACTCCTGGCCAGTAACACTGTTTCGCTGAGATTCTAGGCGCCGTCTGCCGTGATAGTCACAGTTCGAGCGCAGCTCACAGTGCAGACCAGTCATAGTGCACCCGGCCCCAGCTGTTGGGCTCTCACAGTGCTGGTCACAGGTCGGCCCGGCTGCCACCTGTGGTTTCCGCAGTCCACGCGCTGCGGGCAGTCCAGACCGGTCACAGTTCAGACCGGCACGTTTGCCGTCTGTGACTCCGCCTGTGACACTGCAGGCACCGGTCACAACCGCTCGTCGGCGGCCGGATTGTAGGGCACCTTCTGGTAGGCGTGGTAGCTGGGACTGGTGTTGCCGTTGCCAGCCGCGTGGCCGGCGCCGCCGCCGTCCGCCGGGCCCGGCCGACGCTTCCGCTTGAAGAATCCCAGCTGAAACAAATGCCGATAGCGTGAGCGGAGGGCGGGCTCTCATAAACCAATCGCGCACGACTCTGTTTTAATTTAGTACTTACCGCGCCAGGGTGAAAACACTTTGCCGATACCCAAACGAGCGGCGCGCCGTCCGACTGATCACTGGTTAGACGGGATACCGATCGAAAGTCACCTTCAGCGGCGCCGCGGCTTGTTATGTAACCCAGCGTTACGTAACAGCCAAACTGCTCTGGAAATCTATAGCAAAAATCTATAAGCAAAAAGGCATTTCACCGAAGGTGTCTTTTTCACGTGTCTCACCTTGTAGAGAATGAGGATCAGTACGACCAGGATGAGCACGCCTCCGCAGGAGGCGAGAACGATCACCCACCAGGGTATAGGGACCGAGTCGAGCCGCTCGGAGCGCACCCGGCTGGTCACCTGGGGTCGGTCGGCGGGCGACACGGGTCAGTCGGCGGCGACACGGGTCAGTCGGCGGGTGACACGGGTCAGTCGGCGGGTGACACAGGTCAGTCGGCGGGTGACACGGGTCGGTCGGCGGGCGACACGGGTCAGTCGGCGGGCGACACGGGTCAGTCGGCGGGTGACACGGGTCAGTCGGCGACGACACGGGTCAGTCGGCGGCGACACGGGGTCGGTCGGCGGGCGACACGGGTCAGTCGGCGGCGACACGGGGTCGGTCGGCGGGCGACACGGGTCGGTCGGCGGGTGACACGGGTCAATCGGCGGGTGGCACGGGTCAGTCGGCGGCGACACGGGGTCAGTGCGACAGACAGAGCCGACACACAGGTCAGGCGCGGGACTCGTTAGATATCAAAGGCAGTGTGCAAAGACACCCGTCCAGACCGCTTCGGTGACGAGATTGAGATAAATATCTGGCTGAATGACACGTAGCGTCTTCATGCGTAAGACATTTCAGAATAAGCCGGTTTTAAATCATTATGCGTATATATCTCTTAGATATTACGTTTGAGCTCCTCTGGTTTCAGTGTTGAACGACACTTTGACGCTAAGACTCGCATTAATGACGGGCTGATGACGGTGGTGTTCCTTTCTCTTGATTAGATACACAATCATCAAACCAGCCACCAGAATGGGTTCAGGGTCAGTATCGTAAGACATTGCCAGCTTTTCTACAGGTTCGCTAGCTTGGGTAAGGTAACGCGACTGCTTGTCGTCAGGATTTGGTTCCCAACAACACCGTGGGGACATGTAATGAAACGTTGAGCGACAAGAAAAATGTAGCGGTCAATGTATAAAATAACACGTGATGCTATATGCTATGCTATGAAATCAACGTTGAATATCAAAATTTGACGCAGGTGGGACGAATATGCGCGCATGCACTACATATAAGCCACCTACCGTAAACGAAGTGTAGTTCATATATGACGGGTCCACTTGATGAGGTAAACCGGTTACTCGTGCCACCAGTTTGGAGGAAATCGTTATGTCCTTCACACTGCCCGTCCTCTCCTGAAACAAAGTGCATTCAACGTGATGTAACTAACCAACGAGTATCGAAATAAACAGGTATTAACCTTCCAGGCGGTGGGGGGGGGGGGGCATTTTTTTGCCCCCCCCCCCCCCCCTATAGTTTTTTCGATATATCTCGAGAACCGCTGCGCCGATCGTCACCAAACTTTCAGTACCCTCCCGGGAGTAGCTAGCGCACATGGTGACCAAAAATTTTTCCAAAGGCTATGATAGGTTGGCCGCTAATGACGTCAGAGTGACGTCATTTTTGCCATTTTCGACCTAAAAAAAGGTTTCGCGGGAAGAGCTGTCAGGCCTACAGCTTTAGAGATACAGAAAAATGATTCAGACATAAAAGGTGTCGAATCAAAAGGGCTATAAAACTGCTATTTCGGTTTTTCGAATTTTTTGGATTTTGACCCCCAAAAATAAAAAAAATTGAAAATAATAGCCGAAAAATCCAAAAAGTTTTTTTGAATTTCGAAAAAAAAACCGGAATATATGTGATAGTCCCTACCGCCTTCTATCTACATACCAAATTTGAGATCAATACCTCTTTTTTTGGCCAAGTTATAGCGAAAAAAACTGTTCATTGATGACGTCAAATTTTCAAACTCAATTTTTAGCAATTCTAGACCTCGTAGCGCAAAACAAAGACCAGCATTAGACTCCCCATGACGAGCTGCATCGAATCGATACCCATTTTATGCAAAAATATCAACTTTGAAATTTGACCTTTTTTGACCTGACCTTGACCTGACCTCCACCAGAAAGTGGCCTAAACCGTACCTGATGGTCTTATAACCAATACCATTGAGTTGGAAATGAAAAACTGGCCATAAAACATGCATCGCACAACCTTAGTAAAGTTGGGTTCATGTGGTGACCCTTGGTGACCTTTGGTGACCTGACCTGTGACCTGACCTGGTATGACCAGTGACCTCTAATAGCAACATATGTACTAGAAAACTGACGCCTTATCGCTGATTTTCGACAAAATGCGTTTTACTCGGTGTTATAGCACTTTCCCAGAAGCCCCGTGAACGGTGAAACATTTTATCTTTGACCTGACCTGTGACGTCATCGGTGACCCCGAGGTCAATTAAATTTGGTTTCCTTAGACAAATTTGACAGGGCTATCGAACGCCGTTTGAATTTTCCGGATCCGTCCAGTAGTTTCGGAGATACGAGGGGGGGGCAAAAAAATGCCCCCCCCCCCACCGCGCGGAAGGTGGCTGGTAGGCCCACCGCCTGCCGGGTTAAAGAATTGGGATGCTGACTCAGTCATGGGCACTGAACGTTATGAAAGCAGATAAGAAAGTAAAAAGAAAAAAACAATAGCACCTGATCGGCTGAAATTCTTGAACATATGAATTATGATCACCAGTGAAACTGTAGTCATCTAGGCGTACAGCTCCTGAAAAACCCTGCGCTCGTGACGATGTACTCGATGACACCGGTGACACCGGACCGGTCTCCCGAATTAGCCGGTCAGGAGGAGCCGGTCTCCGTGAGCCATCACGCACACGGCACAACTGCGCACTTCCGCGGCTTTTATCACATTCCGGCCCGGAGAGTAAGAACAAAGGATACCGGTTCTAGTGGCGCGTCGCTGTTGAGGAAGGTCATGAGTACGCTACGAGGAAAAACAGGAAAAACTGCATGGCCAACTGTGAGCGTGCAAGAATGCAAAGACATGAGTGAACCATTTTATCTTGCCTAAGCTTACCATGACTGCAGTTGCAGTCAGTCACCAAACAATGTACTTTCGAAGTTACATACCACAGCTGAATCTCGTAATCCCCGATATTGTATAACGCACTATGTTGCCGTAATTTTGCTGCTAGTCGGCTCCCCAACATAGACCATCATTATGGAACGTTTTCGATGCATCCAGAGAGTGGACTAAAATCTGCAAACTGGACCGCACACTTTGGAAAGATAGCGATAAAATAGAACGGACATGGGCTAGGTATATAATACACAGAACAATAGTTTATTGGGCGGCAAAAGAAATGGATTGCTTGGAGGGCAAGAATAGCAAGACTTGTGGCTATGGTGAAAATATCCGAAGCACAAGTGTCACCCACCTCCTCCACAGTATCGACCCACAGCCGGGCTCTGACCCGGATGATGACATTCTGTTGGTTCTCGAGCCGCCCGATCCGGCAGTAGATTTTGGTGCAGGTGGTCGGTCCGCACCCGAGCGCCCCCTGGAACTCTGCCTCGGTGCTCCGCCGAGCGCGCAGCAGAGAGGGCGCCATCAGCGCAGCGCTGGGAAAAGTCCGCTCTGAGCGGTCCAATAGCTGTGGTGGAGACACGGGAACAGATGGCTATCATTAGACAAATAGACACGATAGACTGTGCAATGACATCAGGCTTATGTCATTATACGACGATATAATGTTTGACATAAGCAAATACTACTAAAAGGTCTTATACCCCTTCTTGTCTGACACAAATATTTCAATCGCGATAAAGGTGAGACAGAATCAACCGTTCTGATGTGGAGCACACACAAAGTTCGGTGTCCCAACAATGACACTTCTATCGTTCCACTGAAGAGTCCACCTATCCGTGCTTCTATCCTCAGGATACTGAAATCCTTCTCCTCCACGCCACAACCCCTTCCGGGCTGGACAGGCAACTTTATCTCATGCGGGCTGCTCCCTTGGAGCGGCACCGCTGCTCCCGAGGGAGCTGCACCCCGTAGCCGGGTGCAGAGAGTGCTTGGGGGGCTGGTCGGCCTGTCCTATGGACGGGCTCAGCCCCGGCGACTCTCTAGGGTGCCTGCCCAGACCAATGTCTCCCCCTAATTCCTATCATCCTTCCGGCTCTGCAATGGTCTTGTCGACCGAAAGGGCCTAACCCAACAAAACAAACAAACAAAAAAAACTGAAGAGTCCTGGCCTCAAGGCAAACAGCGTGAGTTAATCAGCGCGTTAGTTTTGACTAACTGACTTCCTCATCCTCTAGACTGCAGACGGTAAACGGGCCACAGTTTATCTCCGCCATAAACTATCCTGGGACGGCCGATTAGCCGGGGGACACCACAGAGGGCCGCCGCAGGGGGAGGGGGAGGTCAGGTCGTCGGCTGGCCGTCCACTGTAAACCCACCCCAACGAGCCCCCGGAGCCCGGCTTTATGGTCTGGCGGCCGGCGCCGCGACCCCGTGCCCTGTGACCGCCCGAGGCAGGCGCCGGGGTCCACCGGGGTCAGAGGTCAGGGGAGGGGCTCGCTCAGGTCACCAGGGGATCTCTGACCTCCAGCTGAAGCGGGTTCAGGCCAGGCACCGGCTCACACGTGCCAGGACCGTCCACCAGAGGTTCTTCAAGCAGGTACAACAGGTGTTTATCTGAAAAAGGTACGTTCAGTGAAATTAAACAACATGCCTAGTTGGGCTTAAAAGGTGGAAACTCGCAGTCGCTCTGCTGTCATTGCGTCACATTAAATGCCATCATCAAACCCAATATCACAGTAAACAAACACTGCGATAAGCACGCTGTGCCGCGAACATTGGCAATGGCCCGCTGGCTGGTTCAGTCCTCTGTACCCCGTACCCCTCCCTCCCCTGCTTCCCCCGCCCCTGCCGCTGGCGTCACCCACCCTCCGGCAGTGTATACGTTGGCCACAGTATGTAGGCCTCTGCGGCGACGATCTCTGATGGGCCGCCGTTGCTGATCTCATAGACGTGGTACAGCTCGGGACCGACGTCCTGCTCGTGCAGTTTCTGCTCGATCGAGTACCGGCTGACGTTGTAGTGCACCGTCTCCGGCTGGGAGATACTAAAACGGAGGGGCGAGGGGAGAGTGAGAGCGTGAAATTCATATAGTTGAGGAGTGTGAATAGGAGTTGTGACTATAAAGGTAATATAAAACATTAAAATGTGCAGAAAAAGTGAATGAGCCATGGCACGAGCCATGAAGTCAACTGCACGTGACCAGCAATGTGGGCGAACTAATCATACGAGTGGATGCACGGGCAAAACAAGAGGTGATTATCTGACATTAACGTCTCTGCCACGTCCGAAGCGTCACCATATTTCGCCTCAAGTTAGACGTCTGGGTCACGGACTGCTCCAGTGTCCGGCCACTCATGCACTCATATCTCAGTAGACTTTAATTAGAGAGCATCATCAAAACACCACCAAAATCAATATACAGCTCTCCCGTCTCCAGCCGCATGTTTGCTACTAATAGCAGCGTAATGACCTCATTATGACGTCACATTTAGCCGGCGCACTGACCCGAGCACGACCAGCTCCGTGTGGATGCGTAGGGGCAGCGTCAGTGTGACGTCATTATCGGTGCGGGTGCTGCGGCTCTCGGCGTTGGTGCTGTTGACGTTCATGGTGAACAGGTAGTCCCGCTGCAGGTCCTGGGACGTGCTGCGCGGCATCAGATGCACCAAAAACTCCACCTGATGGAACACAAGGCCGGTAAAAGCAACGACAAAATGACGCCATCTACGTGCATGTCAGGAAATAATGTTGTGTGAAAATAGAGACGCAACATTATGTAGCTCCCCGAACACATCCAGACATGCCTTATACTGACTCATATAAAACGAGTTGTCCTTCCTGGTTGGGGTTCCTGGTTCTAGGTTGGGGTTTCCGTACCTTTGAGCCCATTGTGAGCGGGTCCCTGTACCTTCCAACCCATGGTGAGCAGGATTCCATACCTTCGAGTCCATTATGAGCGGGTTCCCGTACCTTTGAGGCCATTGTGGGCGGGTCTCCGTACCTTTGAGGCCATCGTGAGTGGGTTGCCGAGGTCGCAGGAGAGCTGCTCAGGCTCGTCGTCTGCTGACTCGCGCGGGTGTGAACAGAGCACCTGGAAGGACGACTTGGTGGCGTTGACCGACTCCGTGCCCACGTAATCCACTCCTGAAAACCACCAGAGCACCGGTCAGCACACGCGCCGACGGAGGGGCCTAGAGATGGGTAGAGCAGGGCAAAAGGTACACATTGATGAGTCGATGACGTCATGTGTTCAACCACATGGCATGTGCCTGTTTTTAGATGCCCTACGTGTATCGTTGGCTGTAATAGGCAAGGCACAAACTCTCGTCAAACGTTGTTCACTATCTCGTAGATCACTTTGATTTGATTTGAAAGATCACTAAGGTCCTAGCTCTGATATTTGTTTGCCAAACTCTCAACCAATCTCTGTTTCTCACTTAGATCTCACTCAACCAATCTCACTTAGATTGCAACGACATGATTCACTTTAACCGTCAGCTCAGATTCACGGAGCTCGGGAGGCCCACCATTAGGCCGCCCACTATCCCTAGTAATCCCATCATGAGCACAATTATCTCACTGGAGTTCGCTCGGTGTAACTGCTGTGTAAACACAAAGCAGATTTCGTTCCCGAGCAAATATCACTAAGTACTTTCGAGCTTTACATTAACAAATGAGTAATGTCATCAACACTAGCCAATAACAGCATCAATACAGCCGCGACGACCACAGCACACAAACCACTCACTCATCTGTTGTGAACAGCGACCTACCGATTGGTAAGCTGATGTAGAACATGGTCTCAAATGCGTCCTCCTTTTTGTTGAGAACGGTAACGCGCAGAGTCAGCTTATCCGAGGAGCCGAGCAGGTAGACGTTGTGACTCCTGCGGAGATGAGACACGGTTAGCTTCACAGCTCATGTCACTTGAAACACAGAGTACAAAGCACCGTTCTGGTTCGGTCTGCCCAGACCCAGGTTGTAAGTGGCAGCGATATGACCATCAGACTCGAGAGTCGAGAATCAACGGTGAACTCACGGCCCGTCCAATAAGCTCACTGTTCGGTTGTCAGGCTCATGGTCCAGTTCCCAAACCTATGACTGAACAGTGAACTATTATTTGCGAATTATCCGACGAATGCCGTCAGACTAAGTCCTCCGACTCTTGTTCTGACTTATAGTGTAACCGTGAGCTTCAGGTCGTCCAACTCACGCTATAACCGTAAGACTCAACCGTCAAACTCACGATGTGACCGTCATACTCAGCCATCAAACTCACAGTATAACTGTCACTCTCAATCCTCCTACTCACGGTGTGACGTCCAGCCGCAGATCTGGCACGCAGACGTCGTCCCCTCCGCAGTTTTTCTGTATCGACACGCTATCGGAGGCCATCGGCGGCCGGTCCAGATTCAACACCGGCTGCAGGGGACCCTGCTGACTGGCCGGCTTTCGGTACACCAGGCTGTAGTGAGCCTCGGTCACCAGAGGGGTCAGCTTGTCACGAATTGTGTCCTGTAAAAGGATGGGGAAAGGCCTCGTAAAACCATGTGTCTCGGGGGGATGAGTGGCATCGTCAACTTGGTGCAAGTAGGTATGTACCTACCTGATGGGCAGTGGAATTGGAAACGTTTATTGCGTAATGCAATCATATGGAAATATAAAATAAAAGTGATGCTTCAAGCAGGAAATTCGTATCAATGCATAGCAGGGCACATTCATATGACTTTTGGTACGCGAATGGCAGCCGTAACTCACACCAATGTAAATGTGCTTTTTATTCTCACACAGGCTCACCTCGACATAGACATATCTCTCGTGGCACCAGCGTTCCTCTCTGTCGGCGCGAGCCGTGACGTTCAGCCGAGACGTGCCCATGTGATCGCGGAAGAACAGACGTGGACTCTTGGGACGGCGCGCGTCCAGGCGGAGCTCAACCTCGAACTCTGCGGACAGGTGGAGCGTTCATATAGGATAGCTTGCATTATGAGCGGAGACGAGAGCAATATTGGCTAGTGGCTTGATGATTGGGTGAAATATAGTTTAAAGATGATTAAGTATCAATGCCGATTTTAGCCAATATTTATCAACAACGCAAGCGACGGTGAAAAAAGAACAACGAAGAACAGACGCCTGAACCTTTTTCAGATTGCGGGTAAGATCCACGTCCATGAATAAAAGAGAACAGAGATATGAACCGTCTTCCCCAGCCTCACCTGCTCGTCTGTCCACCCCGACACCGTCATATGTCAAGCAGAACATGACGGAGACGCAGGGCACCTGACGGCCGTCATTCAGAAGGCACTGGGCGGCAGGGTCGGCCAGGTCGACCAGCTTGTCCGCTCCGGTCTGGTAGCTCACCGAGGCACGGACGTGCACCACGGGCCGAGACCTGACGCCACAGCGGACAGGGCACGTGGTGGTGAGCGGGTGTACCGGGAGACGGTCACTATCTTCAGCTTCGGAGAAGGGCTCTAGTTAATAGCCGGGATAGAGTTATGCAACGACACGCCGGCACGAAAATGAGCTTACAATGGCCCACAGTTCTAACTGTTTATGCAAGTTAAATGGTTGATCCACAAATACACTTGGATAACGTTTCCGTCGCGCCATGCTAATATAATCACCAGGCTCTTCTTGAAGAAGTTGACTAAATAAACCTCTCATGAGTGATACGCCCGTTGACCCGGTCTCCCCGTCCCGCCCCCCGCCCCATGCGGCGCTGACCTGAAGTAGACGGCCGAGCTAGAATCGTGGGCCCCCACCACCAGGTCCGGGTACTGATTGCCGTCCAGATCTCTGCCCCCGTGCAGAGAGTGCCCGAACGAACGCAGGCTCTGGCCCAGCGAGGACGCCGTGATCACCTGAAATAAATTCGAGACAGATAGTCGGAAAAGGATGGACGCCCCATCGGCTGTGCTGGACTTGAGGAGTATATGGCTATAGTTTTATTGTGGTTATCTGTAACAGTTTGTTTTCTAAAAGAGATAAGTTATCATGTTGATTTACTGCATGCCGCCTGGACTCTGGGTCCAGCTATTGAGTCATGCTGCAAGTGAGTGAAGTTGGGAACTCTGCTGCAGGCCTAAAACAGTCGATATGATGCTCTAACCTGGGCTGGCTCCTGGTTGACGCCCTTTTTGGTTCCATGGAAGATGAAGACGGCTCCCTGTTCACCGGTTCCGTCGTGGGGAGCGCCGACAGCAAAATCTGCCGGTAAATGCATCGGAACACATTTCTACAGTGAGTCTTGCAGCTATTCTCCTGTCAAAGGTAAAAGCATACGAAGGTTTCGCCAGCGATTGAAAAGCGAAATACTTTTACATCGAATTTGTGTGTCTGTAATATTGCGTAGAATTTCATAACGAATGAAACTAATTTGTTTTAGTAGCATATAAAGCATAGTTGACATATCAACGTCTAGTGAAAAGGTCAAAGTCAACAACCCTTCGTTACTGTGATCAAAGGGATATCGTGCTCATTCGGCATTCCTAGCCCGGGCCAGACATGTGCTCTCTAGCAGCACAGCCGTGTGTTACTATACCCACAGCTGTCTGTTAGGTGACCTACCGTCGTATCCATCCAGGTCAATGTCCCCCAGGGAGGTGAGCGCCAGACCGAACCGTCCCTTGGACACCCGACCGTTCAGAGAGTGGACGCTTGCGAAACTGTGCTGTGAACCGGAGAACGGGGTTAGAGACGGCGATGTAAGCTTACTGGACACACCGTGATAGACTTTGGAAGGTATGAAACATAATGATGATATGCGATGAATTTGATCAGGCATCCGCACAATCATTGGTAAGTCACGTTGAGCTTCAGTGCCTGCAATATTGGTGCTCGCTAGTTGCCAGACTTTGTCCCCTCATGGCCGGCGTAGTTTGAAGTTTCCACGTTACTCACGTCGACTGCCTGATAGGCGACCACCACCCGTCCGGTCTCGTATTTGCCCTCGGTAGCCCCGTAGTCGGTGTGGAACGGAGCGCCCACGACCACGTCGTCTCGGCCGTCCCCGTTCAGGTCGGCCACGCAGACGCTGTAGCCGAAGTAGGCGCCGATCTGGGTGCCGCGGATCGTGTGCAGGCGACGCAGCGAGCGGGTGAACATCAGCACCTGGTGGGCGGGCGGTGTAGTCATCAGTCATCATTCTTTCTTTGAAAATAAACCATCATTAAATGATAAGCACCCGATGAATATTAATTCATTTATTGGATGAGGTCGAGGAGTTAAAGAAGGACGTGAAGTTCATGATACTTGATTTCAATTGCGATTTGCGAAGTTAATATATGCATAAAACTGAGCGAAGACAAGCCACCTAGACCCCCAAGCATCCGGGCGTTCCGTCATCACGAAGTCCGTGACGCCACCCTTGACGTTCGTCCCGCCGAAGACGCTGACCTTTCCGGTGAGGTTGTTTCCCCTGGGCATGCCGACGGCGACGTCCTGGTCCTGGTCCCCCGTGAACTCCCCGACGGCCACCGAGTAGCCCAGGTAGCTGTCGTCCTCGGTGCTGGGTGCCTCAGAGGTGCCCGCCTGGTCCGAGCGACTGTACAGGTGCTGCGTGAACAGCCGTCCTGTGAGGGAGGGGGGGGGGCAGTCAGCTTGTGCAGTCCGTGTATAGGTGTGGGGAGCTAGTCAGGGTCACTACGAGGGAGCTGGGAGAGACGTGCAAATGTACTGTTTTGGTTTATAAGCATAAAACTAAGCAATATATTTTAGCTCATTTCCATGGGCTTTTATTGAAGGTGAGGAATGACAAAGCGTCGTTTCGGTTCTCCTACGCTTTCTTTCAAAGCTGAGTCAGCAAATGGTGGGCGATACCTAAACATAGTCAAAATAGATTCATTAACAAAATATTGTGAAAAAGAATGATTGTTTGTTTACTTCTCGTAGACAATATGATATTGCAAACACAATAATAAACAAATAGAAATAGGCATAGAAGAACTCTGAAAACGAAAAAAATGGTAACTATTATTTCACAGAAATATGAAATAGGTTCTTCAAATATCTTAAAGGAAATAGTTCACTTTTAACATGGGGTTTTGAGCTGGAATAGCAGTTTCGTAGCTTGAGCTGAGACTAGCACAAATCAGGAGCTTTTACGGCTCAACGATCACCCTAGACGAAGAAATTCCATTTCTCGTTCCGAAAAGAGTGCCTTGTAGAGGAATGCGTGCCTTGCACAGGAATGCAGCCACGTCATCGTCAGCCAATCAGCGTGCTGCTTACAGCCAATGCAGTATTCGTAGGTTTGAGCTACGCAATATGATTGGTCAATGCGTAATAAGCTTCCGCGTCAAACATTATTTTACATAGAATATAGTTCGCCCTATATTAAAATAAATAAAATAATTGTTTTTACAAAAAGGTTTTATTTTATTTCATGATTATTTTGAGCATAAAAAATCATAAATCAATAGCAAAATACTGATTTCAGGAAAGTGGACTGTTTCCTTTAAAAGCGAAAGGATGATAAATATATACTCCAAACTTCGTTGCAATACACAATGCCTGCAATGCCTCACGTATGTCATTTGTTGGTAAATACCTACTTATAATGATGCAAATGCAATATTATACAAATACAGCGTGCTTAACCTTCCAGGCGGTGGGGGGGGCATTTTTTTGCCCCCCCTTTAGTTTTTTCGATATATCTCGAGAACCGCTGCGCCGATCGTCACCAAACTTTCAGTACCCTCCCGGGAGCAGCTAGCGCACATGGTGATCAAAATTTTTTCCAAAGGCTATGATAGGTTGGCCGCTAATGACGTCAGAGTGACGTCATTTTTGCCATTGTCGACCCAAAAAAAGGTTTCGCGGGAAGAGCTGTCAGGCCTACAGCTTTAGAGATACAGAAAAATGTGTCAGACATAAAAGGTGTGAAATTAAAAGGGCTACAAAACTGCTATTTCGGTTTTTCGATTTTTTTGGATTTTGACCCCCAAAAATCAAAAAATATATTTTTTGAATATAATAGCCAAAAAATCCAAAAAGTTTTTTGAATTTCGAAAAAACCGGAATATATGTGATAGCCCCTACCGCCTTCTATCTACATACCAAATTTGAGATCGATACCTCTTTTTTTGGCCAAGTTATAGCGAAAAAACTGTTCAAAATTGATGACGTCAAATTTTCAAACTCAATTTTTAGCAATTCTAGACCTCGTAGCGCAAAACAAAGACCACCATTAGACTCCCTGTGACGAGCTGCATCGAATCGATACCCATTTTATGCAAAAATGTCAACTTTGAAATTTGACCTTTTTTGACCTGACCTTGACCTGACCTCCACCAGAAAGTGACCTAAACCGTACTTGATGGTCTTATAACCAACACCATTGAGTTGGAAATGAAAAACTGGCCATAAAACATGCATCGCATAACCTTAGTAAAGTTGGGCTCATGTGGTGACCCTTGGTGACCTTTGGTGACCTGACCTGTGACCTGACCTGGTATGACCAGTGACCTCTAATAGCAACATATGTACTAGACAACTGACGCCTTATCGCTTATTTTCGACAAAATGCGTTTTACTCGGTGTTATAGCGCTTTCCCTAGAAGCCCCGTGAACGGTGAAACATTTTATCTTTGACCTGACCTGTGACGTCATCGGTGACCCCGAGGTCAATGAAATTTGGTTTCCCTCAACAAATTTGACAGGGCTATCGAACGCCGTTTGAATTTTCCGGATCCGTCCAGTAGTTTCGGAGATACGGGGGGGGGCAAAAAAGTGCCCCCCCCCCCACCGCGCGGAAGGTGGCTGGTAGGCCCACCGCCTGCCGGGTTAAGATCTACCAAACAAGAACTACATTCTAAACCTCTGGACTAACACAACTTAGGTAAAATTAAACAAATAGAAATAGGCATAGAAGAACTCTGAAAACGAAAAAAAATGGTAACCAATATTTCACAGAAATATGAAATAGGTTCTTCAAATATCTTTTAAAAGCGAAAGAATGATAAATATATACTCCAAACTTCGTTGCAATACACAATGCCTGCAATGCCTCACGTATGTCATTTGTTGGTAAATACCTACTTATAATGATGCAAATGCAATATTATACAAATACAGCGTGCTTAAGATCTACCAAACAAGAACTACATTCTAAACCTCTGGACTAACACAACTTAAGTAAAATGTTTTTTTTCTGAAAGATAGTGCACATGACACTACAGCCTTCCTATACACAAACAATTGCAGGTCCGTATCGATCCGTTTCATGATGCAGAAAATCCCTATGCACAGTACGGCTGTGAAAGGTTTGGGCCTTTTCACCCGTCGTATGTATTATACAATCGTTTATTTCTTTTAACCCGCGCCCCACTGGGGTCTGTGTATAACACGCCCTACTGGGGGGGGGGGGGGGCTATTCATAGCCCCCCTCCTAACTCCGAAACTACTGGGCCGATCGTCAAAATTCAAACGGCGTCTGATAGCCCCGGAAAAACTGTCGGGCGAAACCTAATTTCATTGACCTCGAGGTCACCGATGACGTCACAGGTCAGGTCAAAGTAAAAATTATTAGCATTTTGTCTTCTTCACGTTTTGGGCTCTGGCCGCCGTCTTACAAGTCAGATCAGGCTCATTTTTGGTTCACACACTCGTGAACAGATGCTCTAGATACTCTGAGGGTACCAAACTTGTACTTTGATTTTCAGGTCAAGGTCAGGTCATCACAGGTCACGAAAATATTATATCATGCGTCGGTCACGTGACACATGTTTTATGGTCCATTTAGGCCAAAAATTTCGAATTTGATGTCGTCTGTGTCATTCGAGGTCATTTTGAGTCAAATTTAGCTTAGGTCAGGTCACTTTCAGGTCAAAAAAGGTCAAATTTTGAAGTTAAAATTTTTCAACAAAAAAGGTGTCTATTGGATGCAGTTTGAGCTCAGGAACACGATGGTGCTATTCATATTGGCGTACGATGTCAAATTCGTGCTGAAAAAATTGATTTGAAAAATTAATAATTGTTAATTTTTTGCAATAATGCGTATAACTTGGCCATTTTTGAAGATATTTAGCTAAAACTTGCTAGGGTTAGTCATAATAATGCGTTCTATCACATATATCCCGTTTTTTCGAAAAGTCATAAAAATTTGGAAAAAAATGTAAAAATATAAATGTTGAATTTCATTATATAAAATTTTCGAAATTTACAAAATTTCGAAAATCCGTGATAGCAGTTTGATAGCGCAGTCTATTCTGAGTCCTCTCATGCAAAGAAATTGGATCTAGTTTAAAAACTGAGCTCTTGGGAGCGATTGCCGTGGTTCAATGTTTTGCGTCGAAATCGGCCGAACATGACGTCACTCTGACGTCATTTCCGGCCGACCTATGGTAGGTACGAAGTTCAAATTTTGACACAAGGTGTCAAATCGATGCAGCTGAAGGTACTGAAAGTTTGGCGTCGATACGTCAAGCGGTTTGGAAGTTATTGCAGAAAAACGGGAGGGGGGCTATAAATAGCCCCCCCCCCCCCCAGTGGGAAGCGGGTTAAATCAAATCTCGAATAGGTTCAGTAAAGGCAGAGGTACCATCAATCACAGACAATAGCTTAGGTGATCCTCAGTTCTCAGAAGTTATTATTGATTCGAGCTATTAACAATGCGGATCAATACCGATGCTTACGACTTTATAATCAGGAAGTGATATATTCAGCATGCATACATCACATTATGCGCATGTTCTCAGCATCAGCGCCAAACATTAACAACTAAGAGCCCATCCCTCTTCTATTCATTGGTGGCAACCGCGTGTCGCTGCGCCCCGTGTCGCCGAGTTAATCGGATGCATTTCGCATAAAACTAGGGTCTTCAACACTACATACAAATCGTTACTGCGTCGACTATGGTTCTAAGCTATCCTAGAATAGCACACCATCCCCCTACACAATACACTAATGTAAAGCTAGAACAATCGTATGCGTATATGATACCCAATGTCGAAGCCTGAAAGAATTGTGGCGGAGGCAGCGGCTTCGTTCCCTTCCGAATAGGCAGGCTATATAGTCGACCTGTCAAAAACAGTGCTTTTAGTGGTCATCCGGCGATACACTGGAATATGGACCAGATCAATGTGCAAAGTGACTTGTCGTTCTCTTATTACAATGCTGAAAAATAGAAGTTGGTTGATCAGCTTCTCCTAAAATCTGAAACTGAAGCATTTTCATTGTTATATTTGGGCCAAAATACTTCATAAGAAATGTCAATTATACTAGTACAAGTAACAGCACGCAGCGCTGTTTCGGTAGCATCGATACGTAACAGGTTAGGCTACCCCGCATAAAACTACATGATGAGTAGACTAGCCCGCACGACATTGCCTGCAGGGTAGAGTAGCCCGCACAGCACTGCCTAGCACTAGCCCGCACAACGCTGCCTGCCTGGTATATAGCCCGCTAGGAACTGCCTGCCTGGTAGACTAGCCCGCAAGACACTGCCTGCAGGGTAGACTAGCACGCACGACAATGCCTGAAGGATAGACTAACCCGCACGGTACTGCCTGCAGGGTAGACTAACCCGCACGGCACTGCCTGCCGGGTAGACTAGCCCGCACAGCACTAGCCA